ACGTTTAATATAAATAATAAACATTTAAGACTAATCGAAAAGTAATATTTTATGCAATTTAAATAGAATTATTTTTATTTCTAGATTTGTTGGGTTTGTCTTTGATATCTAGCTTTAGATTCTGTAACATCACATTTATTCGTGCACGGCTGTGATGATCTTTTGAGGACCATCATCTTCACTTAAGTCCTTCTTTAAGTTGTTTGTTTTTATACAGTTTTGTAATACATTTTAAATCAGTTTGAGTTATTTTAGTACATTAAACTAAATGAAAATGAGAAATGTGGCCTTGGCAAGTAGCTGAAAAGAGGTTTTAATTGTATATTTTATTATAGTTTTAATATTAAAAAAAATTATAAATTGTTTTTAAATGTCTATAGTTTTTTTTTTTTTAGTTTTGAATATTTTAGTACCCTTTTAGAATATGATATTATATATAATATTATAATATTTATTATATATATATATAATATACATACATAGACACACATATACATATATAGTTCTTCATATCATATCTAGCTTTAGATGTATTCTGTCACAGCACACGTACTCGTACACAGCTGTGATGGTCTTCTTTTGAGGACCATGGTCTTCAGTTAAGTCCATCCTGAAGATGCGGGGGCTCTCTGGGTCCTCAGGTACGTCTGCGCTGGACAGATACCAAAGCCTCATCGTGATGTAAAGAAACTTTCTGCCTAGGAGAACAAAAGACGTTCAACCCATCAGGATCAGATGCATTAATCTAATGTTGTAATATAATGATTAAATGAGAATAAGGTGAATTTTAAATTATTTTACTTCTAATTTATGAAGAATCTTTCAGTCATTTTTTTATTTTCTCTAACCAAATATTTCAAACAAAGTATTGTTCTAATTTGTAATCAATTTCTAGATTTTTTTTCCCCTTGTACCCAATATCTCTTTAACAAAAGCCTTAATGACATTATCCTCCAGGAAGTGACATCACTTTGGAGGGAAAGCATCAGCACCAACAGCAGCGAGTGTTATCAATTTATTTTATATTTAAACGTTCCATCCTGTCTTACATAATTACAGAAATCAACATTACATCAAAAAGTATCAAAATAATAATAGTAACAAAATAAATAAATAAACATCATAAAAATGTCAACTTAAAATTCTCAATATTTCTTCATATAAGCTTCATATTTCTATCCTTTTAGGGTTTATCCTGTTCATTTCTTGTGTTGCTAAAGTTATGGTTAATCTTTAAAGTGTCTTGAGTTTTTTCTAAAAGTCTGCTGTATCCTTAGAAATCCCTTCAGTTACAACACAAGCATATTTAACATTTTTTAAAAGGTTGTGCATAAGAGGAATGAACAGACTCAGCGCTCGGGTCAAAGAATACGGACACATCCTCAGGCAGCAGAAATATAATGTCATCGAGGGAAATGGCAAGATGTCTTTGTTGGGCCTCTGACAGAGTTTTATATTTCTTTCTGACACCGTCAACAGCCTGTAAACAGAAAAAAAAATCTATAGGCCTTATATGACTTCAAACGTTTGCTAAATCAGTAATTTAATGAACTAACCTCCTTCGACATTACACTCCTTAATTCATCAAACGTGCCTTTGGAGCGCATAGTAGACACATGGACTGCTGCCTGTGGAGAG